AAATATCATCAAACTCATTACGACATGGATAACCCTCTCCCCAAAATGGTTCAAGGATACAAATTAAATATTTTTTATCCGGACCTTATCGATAAAAATACTACACCCCAATATTTTTTGGTAAGCACACATACGCCTTCTGTTATTTATTTATGTATGTATTTAAGGTCTAAAGTTATATATGCTACAGGTATGAAAAATTACAAGCTATATATTTTAGTTACAAATTGAAAACGTAAAAAGAGCAAAAGTATACAATAATGGCTATTCTAAATTTTTCACAATAAATAGTTTGGGAAATGTTTAGTTATTGGCCCATCGTTTTTGTGGTGGGGGCGGAGGGGGAGGGGGCGTGGCCCCCCAAACCCCCCTCATTCGAAAGGGGACAGTCGCCACTTTACGAAAAAAAATTAACTAAAAAAAAAATTTAGGGAAAAAAAATTAACTAAAAATATTGTGAAATTGAGAAAAAAGCGACAGATAGAAATGTTGTAGTAATAGTAATATGATAGTATTTTAGCGCAGAACTTCTTTTTGCGTAGGCGGCCTTTGGCCGCACTTAGGGATTATAACCCTCACTACGTAGAATTCTCTTCTGTGTTGCCAAAGAAAGGGGGCTGAACACCTTTTGCAGAGAACACCTTTCTGCGTAGGCGGCCTTCGGCCGCACTTAGGGATTATAACCCTCACTACGTAGAATTCTCTTCTGTTTTGCCAAAGAAAGGGGGCTGAACACCTTTCTGCGTAGGCGGCCTGCGGCCGCACTTAGGGATTATAACCCTCACTACGTAGAATTCTCTTCTGTGTTGCCAAAGAAAGGGGGCTGAACACCTTTTGTAGAGAACACCTTTCTGCGTAGGCGGCCTTCGGCCGCACTTAGGGATTATAACCCTCACTACGTAGAATTCTCTTCTGTGTTGCCAAAGAAAGGGGGCTGAACACCTTTCGCAGAGAACACCTTTCTGCGTTGGCGGCCTTCGGCCGACCTTAGGGATTATAACCCTCACTACGTAGAATTCTCTTCTGTGTTGCCAAAGAAAGGGGGCTGACTGGGTTATATCATATTTTCTTTTGTCTCTCATCCTTCTTGTATATTTAGCAGTTTGACAGCTAAACGCCGCCATTTAATTTACATATGCAACCAAAGGCAGACGCGTGGTTTTGAGGGTGTTTTTATTTAATAAATTGTGATTGATAGGTTAAAATTAAAGTAATAAAGAAAGTTGTAACAAGTCGAATAAAGTTTAAAGTGAAGGGAAACAGTTGTACTCATTCAAAGCCTTAACAATGGGGGCATTTGCATTGTAAACCGTTTTATTTAAACCAGAGGTGGGCACTCACACTATCACACACATGCGCTTGTGTGCGAAGCAGCGAACCCAGTAAGAACCCTATCTGTTAACTAATGCATTATATACGCTTAGTATTACAAACAGTTTGGCTGAGAAATTCAAAAACTTTCCATCATTTTACATAGGGCCCCTGGAGAAAGCTAAAGCATAATCTTTTCACGTGTGAACAGTTTTCTCTTTCTTTTACATGGAATTCGCTATTGTATTATCCTATATGTAGTTGTCGCTTTTCAATCAAATATTATTATGCCCTTAATAACGTGTTATATAACGCAAAGAATGGCATATGAATATCGCTAATATTTCATTTCATTTCATTTCATTTATTAATAAAATCATTAGCACAATAAGATCAAAAGAATTATCTTTTATAGCGCAACAAAAAATTCATAACAGGACATACATATAACTAAAACAGCAAAAATTACTTAAGACTAAATAAAAGTAACATAATATAATTAACAGGGTAGTATTTTTAAGTGAGTTCTACAATTCCAGGACATATACTTAAAATAATACTTAATTAAACAAGTACATAGAGAGCACATCACAGGGACTGATGTGAAGCTAACGGAAATACGCATACAGAACATTTTTAGAGTTGCTTTTGTTTAAACTACTGCGAATATGGGATGGAATAGAGTTCCAGATGCGGATAGCATTGACAAAGAATAGCCGTGCAGAGCTGAGATAATTGTAGGTAGGAACAGTCAAGTCCTTTACTCGGTGGATTTGGGGAACGTTAATTTTTCATATAGATATTTGGGTGCCTTATCTGTCATGAGACGAAAAAGGAATACATAATTTCTAGCTTTAAGATATTCAGAAATTTCGCAGCCAAGTAGGCGCGTTCTCCAAGCGGAAATATGCTCATATTTAGCTAGCCCAAACACATAGCGCGTGATCTGGTTAAATACTACATCTATTTTGTGAGCTGATTGGGAATCTAACCTGCTGTAGACTACCTCAGAATAACAGATAATTGGCATTATAAGTTGGACTGCAAGTTTACGTCTGATTTCTATCGGTGTAAATGGAGCAGACATTCGTAAATTCCTTAAAGTATTATAGACTTTGCCTACAGTTGAATTCACATGGTCACTGCAGGTAAGGCCAGTGTTGATAATAAACCCAAGGTTAGTTACTTTTGACACAAATTTAATTGGTTTGCCACCAATGTGTAACGATGGAATAGTTGCTAGGTTAAGTCGTTTGTTACAAATAGGTAAAACAAAACACTTGTCACAATTAAGACGAAGACCATTTAACTGTGCCCAGGACCTTATAGACATCAGTTCTCTGTTGAAGCTTGCGCACAAATTCGCTGAGTCCTCCAGAGGAGCTGACATATAGAGCTGGACATCGTCCGCATAGGCATGCATGTTGGCGTGCATAGAAGTTCCCACGACAGCCGGTTCTACGTACCGGAATGAATCGGGTTTTACCCGACCAAGGGCTGTTGTTTCGGCGATCTAACCCCGTTTAGGTCGGCGAAATCCATCAAACGTTGCTCGATCCTAGGGCTACACCTTCTCCGCACCCTTCTGCTCAGGGCTGGCATAGAGTCAAACCCAGGGCCAGAAATTTACACCTGCTGCGTATGCCAGAGACGACTGCATACAAACTCCACTTCGGTCAGGTGCAATGCCTTTGACGGGTGGAGTCACCTTCGTAACTGCTCGGGTCTGCGTACCAGAGCTGTGTAATGATTGAATCAATTGAGTGTGCATTCTCATTTTTTTCGTTTCAAAATTGTGATTGTTTGATTTAAAAAATTTAACAACCACTCTTGAGATTGGTTACAAATTGTAAACACAAAATATGTAGTGTGTTATGGAATGGTTGACACCCATTCACATAGAGAATGTGAATGCAAAAAAAAAACTCAATCATGTATGATTGGACGTTTATGGGAATGCAATCTGTCATTATCATTCAGTACTAATACTATTTGTTGTATCAGGGTTGAAATTTTTGTACTCAAAATGTGAAACCAGAAGATTGCCATCTCCCTTAAAATAAGTAAACAAATCAATATTTGGTGCTAAAATATTTTTCTAAGTCTTTGGCCGAACTTCTGCTAAAACTTGAGGCATGAGTTCTGATTTTATAAGAAGAGTTTTCAAGGCAGAAATATACTCGAAGGTTTGCCATTGCGTGCCGAAGGACGA